CAGCAGGAAAGCAGATTACCATGAACAGACTTTCTACTATACTACCAGAGATATCAGACTTTCCCAGGCATTTAGTATGTAACTGGACAAGAATTTTATTCATTTAGGGTTCTTCTCATCTTCAGTAACAGGAGTTTTATTTGCAAATTTTATTTTAGGCTAATAAAACTGTGCCATATTTCTTTTTTCTGGATGCCGCCTTTGCTTTTTTCAAGACAAACAGTGTCAAGGTAATTCAATTAACATATATATTTTAGACAACTTCGGGTTTTTTTAGTAGCCTTCATTTTGAACGAGTGCACTGTTCAGTTCCTCTGAATTGTTTCTACAAACTAATCACATCAGAAGTACATTAAAATCACAGATTGAACATTACCCCTCTGAAAAATACTAAAGTGTATTTAAGATATGAGACTTTCAACTGCTTGAGTAAAGCCATTCTTATATCGAAGACTCCTATTCAACCATCCAAACTCTGCAGCTTTAAAAAAAAAAAAACAACCCCACCACAAAGCAAAAAAAAAAAAGTCTTCCAGCAAGGAACTTGAAGAAAAGTTTTAGTCAGATGCTAGTAATGATGTTTACTAGTTCTACTTCTTGAAGGAGTTTCTTTGGAATTAACCAGCATTTCAGTGTTTGTTGATGTTTGGCTATTTATAAAAAGCAATTGCCATTCTATATAGAAGTGTTCTGTAACTAAAGTGGCATAGACTCTGCCCTAATCTGTGTGACAAGTTTGGGAATGGCATACATTAAGGGATTTCACAAGTCCTACAAAAAACATTAGTTTTGAGAGAAGTACCTCAAGCAAGAGGAAAAAAAAAAAACACAACACTTTAAGTCTATTAATAACTTTTCCAATATTATGAAATTAAGAAAAACAATTTAATGCAATGTGCACATTTTTCTACAACTTGGACACAAATGAGTCACTTCATATACAGCGTTTATAAAAGAAACTAGTATGTCATAGAAGTCAGTAATCATCATAAGCATTTATTTTCATCACCTTCTTGAAATACACACTGAAATCAAGTGCTCTACATGCTGACAGAGGCAAGGTGCATGACGTAAGAAAAACTCTAAGAAAAAAAAAAACACTTTTTTGTTTAAAAAAAACAAGTGTTCCAAATCAAGTAATTCCTGCAGACCTCAATATTTGCCTGTTATAAAACTAACACCAAGATGAAAAGACTGGAGTGCAGGACAAAAGCTCCCCTCTACTTTTCCCAATAACATGATGGTCAATGGGTTGTTTTCCCATGAACATTTAGGAAAATGAAGACACATGGGGGAGGGAAAGGGTCCAAGTGTAAAACATTGGGGGTTTTTTTATTCAGTAATTTGCAATTGCTTTTTAATGCCACTAAAACACTCTCTCTCAAGAAAACAAAAAATAAAAAAAGTCAGGGAGAATAAGATGCCTGTTCTGCAGTTTGAGATTTAATGTGCTTAAAAACACACGCACACAATACTTCACTAAATATTTTTGGAGGTTCTCTTGGAAGTCCCAGTAACAAACTTAAATTGCATCTTTGCTCTCTACAGTTCAAAGAGACTAATACTTTTTACTGTTGCCTGCCTCAAAAGTAGCACCACTGAAAATAAAAAGAATGCAACAGTGTTGTGTTCCTTACCATACAAGCCCTTTTTGGTATTTACCACCCCATATGGTGGTGATAAATAGACTTTCGACTACTGTCGAAAGAGAATAGCTGCCATGACTCAGAAAGAGGCAGCAAAACATTGCATCAACTTTACATGTGGACTTAGCCACCACTATCCAGCTGGGAAGACACTCCAAAGTAGCCCTACCCTTAATAATGCTGCTGTTCACATGGCTGAGATAAGATGGGCTGACTCATGAAGATTAACCTCACACTTCTTTTGTCTCCTGATGTGAAGTAAGGTCTCTTACCCCAGAAGTCCTAATTTAATGCCCTAAATTTATCCTGTTGTCTTTGCATGCATGAGCTTTGTTATGTCACTGAAATTTCAAGGTCCTTCTAGTTCCCTTCACCCACATCCTGCAATGCTTGCTTCCCCCATTTCACCTTTTCCTCGTCCAGGCCCCCTTTATAGAAGCACAAAACTAGACTTTTGTTTAGTGTAAGATTTGTCTTGTTCTCCACAGGCAATACCACATATTCAGAAAGGACGTACAAGCGTTTGATTAGAATAGCGCATTCTGAAAGATGTGGACAGAGGCAGAGAAGCTGACTTTTTTTACATTTAAAAAAATCCAACATTTATGTCCAAAAGACAGGAAGGAGGCAGTAACTATCGTGAGTAATCCTGACAGAAAATGTGAGGGAGAACACACTACAAGCATTTTTCCCAACAATATGAAGCATTAAGTCTATGGATTATTGTGAGAGGATACAATGAAGTTACCATCAGGTTCAAGTCATTTTACCTTCTGTTAAAAACTTCAATGAACCCGATCACTTATCTCTTTTGTTCAGTGTGAATGCTATCTTATCAGCAGTATTCTCTTTTCAACCTCATTTTATTACATAACTATTACTTTTTATAAAATGCTTTAAGTTGTGAAATTTCTTGAGAGTGTATTTATCTGATTAAAAAAAAACAAGGTAAGATTTAAACAAAAAAGTACAGTTTACTAGGGGAACCTTCTTCCAGCTATGAATAGATCAGACACAATCCAACTTCAGAAGCTATCCAGACTCAAGCCCTCCTAAGTTAGGTGTGCAATGGTCATATGATAAAGTTAATGTATTTTACTATTAAAAATAATAGATGTTTATACACACAGTACCTTGCTCTGTATTTAACTGTTGCCACCCACAACCCTTGAATTTAGTAGAGCTGTTCAACAGCTGACACAGCAGCATGGTGAACAGAAACATAACACTTGCAAGTCAACTTGAGCCTCATCAGTTCTTAAATGGAAAGCCAATAAAGGAAGAGAGTCTGAAGTAGTTTATCTTGCATTATAAAAGGCAGTAGCTCACATGTTCCCAAGTTCTTCTGGCTAATATTTGTTGGAAAGACAAAGAATTTAAAGAAGTTTTCTAAAAATCCCAAGAAAAAATTCATTTTATGTAATTATGTTACCACATTTAAGACATATCTTCAAAGATTTGACTTTGTAGATCAGAGTGTCTATACTTAGGTAAGACTGAACATCTAAATTTCATTTTGTATTTTAGTTTGAAAGAAAAAACAAAAAGCTACCTTTTATTCCCCCCTCAGCTCTCCAAAGCTGATTCCCCCAGCTCCCACCAACAAAGCCCACTATGCTATTTTCTCACTAATGTGGAATATTCCTTACCTTCAAGATCAGAAATGCACTTCAGTCCTGACCCACAAACATTTTTCCCAGCCCTATCTTCATTTTCTTTTACGAGGAGAATGTCATCACATTCAACTGTAAGAACAGGGCTGCTCATCAGGGACTAGAATAAGGTCAAATTCATTTCTAGTTGTCATCGGAACCAGGATATGAATTAAGCCTCCAAAAACGTATTAGTTGAGTAATACACACGGCCCTCTTAAAGGTTTCTTTCCCTCCTCCTCAGTTACAAGCATGGATTTATAAAAAGAAAAGCCTCTACAGGCACAACAGGTTGGACATAATGAAGCACTGTTTCTATAGTCCTCTAGGTATCAGCTTGAAAGGATGCTTCGCTAGTAACAATGATTGGAGAACACTTCTCCAGAGACCAAAGAAAAAGTAATTCAATTTCATGTGGTGAAAACTGGTATCTAGGAATGGCTGTTCTATAGACATTCTTTCTAGCTTCGTATTACAGAAATGAATCAAGACTATATTAACTCAAGAAAAGTCTTATTACCAAAAAACAAAGAACTTCCTTGTGTTACTCACAATGAACTCCCCAAGCTTTCTGATTAACAAGCAAACAGACAGCAAGTTATTTTAATGTTTGTGTATCTTTCCTTACTGCTCCATAAACAATGGAAAGGGGGAAAAATTGGAGGTATCTTATAAAATAAAGAGTTCAGGAATACAGATTCAGAAAACTCCAGATTAAAAAAAAAGATAGCAAGCACTATCCAAGAAATGCTTCATTTGTCAAGCAATGCAGTGTTTCAAGTTAAGCCTGTGCAACCTTATTTCTTGCATGTTATCAGTATCCACCTTAAAAAAGGTTGTGCCTGATACAGAAGAGAGGCAAAGAACTTAAGAGACTTACCTAGAGTACAGGAAAGCAGACAAAGATTTACCAAACCTCATTCCACTGAGACAAAAGAATGGATGATACTACAGGTCGGGGGGGATAAAATATCCCCATATCCCTACCTTTCCCTAACGTAAGGGGAAAAACAGAGTACTGTTGTAGGAGCTGACTAAGACCCACATCACTAGAGTACTTAGTTGAGAAAAAAGAAACCTATCTACGAGGCAGGCCAGATAACCTATGCACTGCACATTTAATTCAGAATATCAGTCTTCAGTTAAACAAGGCAGATTTTGAGCAAGTCCTAAACAGGGACATTACTAGACTCCAAGTACAGCACGAAGAGATGTTGCACCTTTTGTTCACTGTATAGTGTGTCAGAGGCTAAATGTTTGGCCATTGCCTCACACATTTCTGTGTGGTGGTGGTTTTGGGTTTTTTTTTTTCCCCCTCTCCAAGAACCCAAATGAAATCTATTCCCTACTTTTACAGTGTTTTGTACTTACTGCTGGTAGTAGAGACTGCATGTTCTGGTTGGAGTCAGCTATAGTGGCTAGGTAAACCAAGTTTGTATGCAGCATCTGCTGGTATCTATCAAAATAAACAAAAGCAAGACAGATCTTAAATCATGAATACAATAACATCAGAATTTATTTTAATTCTACACATGTAAAGAAAGTTACCCATGTAAAATACGTTTCATGAGACTTACAAGAGTACCATTATTAGGAATTCTAAGCCTTTTCCCTCACACTTACCTATTATCCAACCTTTCCCAAAGTCTCCATCAAATCCATGCCTGTATCTTCTCTACAACTTCTCTCTTGCTATGAAAAATCTAAAGTTGGGTGACACTGCTCTCACCTATTTCACTTCCTGCCCCAAACTAAGTCACCAAGAGACATATAGAGTGTGTGTGTGCCTGTTTGGTGTGATTTCTATCACAAACACTAGGTAAAGAGAGCTCCTCCTATGTCCCCAAATGCAAGATATCACAGATTTATGGGAATCATGACCAAGAACATTTAATCAGGACCTCAAGCTTTCTAAGTTTGCTATGGAATGACTTTTTTCCCCCCACAGAAAGACATTCCAGAGTGTCAACATCTAGCCTGCAGTCACAATAACCTTGAAAGCAGGCACAGATTATGAATATGTAACTACAGGCTTGCAAACAGCTGAATACAATAACTGTGCTACAATAAAAGCATTCCCTTAAAGCAAAAATACCTACTATTTATGAGCCCACTCCTAATTCCAGACTACCAGTTCTCTTAGTAGGGGCTCAAGACCCATACCATGATGCCTTGTCTGTCACGTGACTATTTTATAAGGGTGCCATGCCAGAAAAGAGTAATCAGAAAACAATATTCCTTAATAGTTCACTCCTTCCACAGTTCTCTCAGGTCACTCTCCAGAGACCCCACTAGACAGCAAGTTCACATGGGATATTCTGGCAAGCCAAACTTAATACAAGCCTGTTTGTTCTTGGGCAAGTGATAAGCGGGTAGTTTTCAAACATGCTATCAAGAAGAAGAAAGGAGCATTCCTACATGATTTGAAAGGTTTGACAAGAAAGCTACCTCTTTCACAAGGTGTAATTATGAAGCAGAGGAAAAAGCTTTTGGTTATACAGTCCCCATTTTTATGATCATCATGACATCAACTTGCAGTAGTCAAGTTGCAACATTCGAGTGATAGAAGTGATAGTCATACAGCAAAACAGAAAAAGTTTAAGCATAGGATCTGCAGCCATACTTTCCTATTCTTCACATCACAGTTCTCTACAAGGTAAGCTAGACAAAACAAGAATGATGATCTAGACAGAAATTCACCCAGTCCACAGTAGATTTGGATTAATGTCTTACTGAGAGCATTCAGATGTCTTTCCTTTGTTCTGATAGTCCATTATACACTGAATAAGATGGTTATTTTCATCCAGCATCTGAAACAATAAAAGAAGTGTGGAGTAAGTTTCATGAAGAAACTGAAGATAAAAATTTGAGTCTCGCTCCTCTCAGAGTTTTTAAAAACAAATAAAAAGTAAAGTAGTATTCCATAAAGTTCTACATCAACCATTTATTTATAGAACACTTTTGCTCCCATCTCCCCCCCACCTCCAATTAGTTTTACAGCTTTCAGTTTAAGGGTTTCACGTCACCATTATAGCTACATTTGTGAAGTTTCCCATTCAAATACCAATGCCTGTCATACATCAACTTCTTATGAAGCTTTCAAAGTTCTGCATTTCTTTGTTTGATCACTACCAAGAAGTTTACTTAAAAATTTAAGTAATTTCTTTTCTCCTTCTAAAGCCCACAACTGTTCATAAATAAAAGGCATTGAAATTGCTATTGATATAGACTGAGCTTACCATACAGGTTTGTTTCCAGGAGATGTGCTGGAAAGCTAGGCCATATTTACATTAAGAATCTCTAATTAAACTGCACTTCATAAATATTCTGTATAATGGGCACAATAGATACATTATACTTCAGAAGTGTCCAGGAATATGCACGTATGTGTATTCTTTTTTTTTGCCAGAAAAGCGAGTCCTAAAATCATGGGAAATTGCAAATCTTGTGGCTTTCTACAAAAAGCTCACAAATTCAAGGTGTTCCAAGCTCCAAAAACATAAAAAAAAAAAAGCCTGGTTTCCTAGAGCCACACATTCCCACACCCATGTCTTTTTAAACACTCTCCCACACTCTGATCAAGAGGCAGCAGAACCATGGCTAATCTGAGCTACCAGCCAAGTTACACGAGTCAACTGAACTAAATGAAAAATTTACTGCCAAATGGAAAATTCTGCACTGATTTCATAGAATCGCAGATCGGTTTGGGTTGGAAGCGACCTTTAAAGGTCATCTAGTCCAATCCCCCTGCAATGAGCAGAGACATCTTCAACTAGGCCAGGCTACTCAAGGCCCCATCCAACCTGACCTTGAAAGTTTCCAAGGACGGGGCATCTACCACCTCTCTGGGCAACCTGGGCCAGTTTCTCACCACCCTCATTGTGAAAAATTTCTTCCTCATGTCTAGTCAAAATCTGCCCTCTTGTAGTTTAAAACCATTACTGCTTTCTTATTGCAACAGGCCCTGCTAAAGAGTCTGTCCCCAGATTTCTCCCTATGTTTCCTCAGTGGAAAGCTAGTTTAGATCCCTTTACTCAGCTGCTGAATTCCACAAAAATAATAGGATCTTGACCATCTCCAAGACTTTTTCCTTCTTCCAAAATATGGTTGAGACTAGCCAAAAGGCTCACGCTTCCTCAAGGAAAGCACAGTGTTATTACATCACCTTTATTTCCCTAGGAATCCAATCTAAACAAATTCGGGGGGGGGGGGGGGGGGAAGTACTGACACTTTTTTTCTTCCAACTAACCCACTGCTACCATGAAAAGGGTACAGAGTCAGAAACTTCATGCAGTCTACTCAGGACTTCTATCCATGTAAGAATGAGCCAACCAGCCGAGTCTTCCTAAATTCAAACCAGTAATTCACAAGAATTGACTAGAATGATCACTGAAAAATTATTTTGCCTGAACTGCTGGATCTGGAAACACTGTCATTAAGCACTAAACACAGACAGAACTGCAGTATTTTGAGTTACTGTCTGAGCCCCAGAAACCAGGCAGAACCATAGTTGCACACTCTGAAGAGGATCACAAATACACTGCTACACAGACACATTTCACATGAACTAACATCAAGTTTTCTAAGAAACACAGTGGCCATACTCACGAGAAAAAAATAAGGAAAAAGGAGCCAATATCTTTGATATCAAAGCCTAACAGGGCACTTGCTAAGGAAGCCTTGAATCAAGACTCTCCTCAGAATGTCTCCCAGCTTCCAAAGGAAGGCAGCAAATATTTAAAGCTTAGCAGACAGGTAGACCTTCAGACTGCCAGTTAGACAGTTGCACTCTTCACTGCCACCATGTAAGCTGGACCTCTTTGGGGGTTAAAAAAAGGAATGCTAGGACCAAGAGGAAAGCAAACAAGAAGGAATACAACTGTATCCTAAATGGGGCTGCAGGCACTGTTTTATACAAGTTTGATTGAGCAGCTGCTGATAGAAAATTGAAACAGTTCTTTCAAATAGTTATAAACACCTACCATCAAAAGAGAACTTAGTTTCCAGCTGGATGAAGCCACCTCCAGGGCTTCTGACAGATTATGTACATTACAAAGATTCTTCAGCTTTAACTATACTAGGGTTTTGCCAGCACACCTCCATCAAATTAATGGTTTGACTACAGCAGAAGAAAAACTTAAAATTGTCTGCGTTCTCCATATGCACCTCAGAGACCTGAAGTCTCTACTGACTACCTTTAGGCAGCTTTCCACCCAGTGGGTATGTATTTTTTATCTACACTTCTCAAGCACTGACTTCTGCTACAGTATCCTGCAGGTCTCCAGTATAACTCGGGTCTTTTTTGAGGTCCCAATCCCTGCAACACCTGCCTTGTTGACTCTCTCATCCTTTACTGAATCATAGGTTAGCTCTATCTACCCGAAAGGCTCCTGCACAAGGAGCTTGTAGTAATCTGAAATCCGATTGATTCATGGCTATTTACATGACACTGCGAGTCTTCAGTTAAGTTTCGAAATAGCAGCAAGTTACCAGCGAACTTGAACATGCTCCTTTACGTCTGCCGATAGAGAACACGGTGGATTATTACAAATCCTATCCACGCTCTTCTTCGCTTGCTTTAGCCAGTTAACTTGCTCCCTCCCACAAAAGCTTTAATGGAGTCGTCCAGAGTCGCTGCCATTAGCTCCGACCATAACGTTCTCCGTTTATAACGCCTAAAAGTTTCAGGGCAGCCTTAGTACTAAGCGGACCAAGTCAGGGCGCTGTAGTCGCGGCTCACCCCGCGGAGGCAGAGCCCAAAGTTAGGCAGGCTTTAGGAACAACCCGACTGAAGCCCGACTTACAGACACTCCCCTCAGGAAGAAGTTACGCGACTCCTCCGTTTCCCCA